TTTCCGCCAGCCCCTCGGCAAATTTGCTGTCTCGTGAGCGAACCTCTCCGCGAAATCCCTCCGCGAAACCACTGTTCGCGAATAATCGCGCCTACTCGCTCTCCAGCACCCTACCGAACTCCACCTGTCGCAAACTCCTCCTGCGACGAACTTGCAAACTCCACTGGTCGAACACCACCAAACTCCTCTGTTTGCAAACGCTCCTGTTTGCGGTAACTACACACGAACTTCTGTTCGCAAACTCCACCTCGCCTAATGCCGCGAAGGTTCATGAACTGTCGCGCCTCAAAATCGCGACGCCGTCTCTACCGCGAACTCCCCGAAGCATAACTCGCCGAACTGCCATAGCCCTTTATCCGAACTACTTCGCACCTGTTCGTTCCCGCGAGCCCGTCCGCCTTGCGAACAATTTTGATCATGCAACAAAAATTTTTCTGCGAAAAATTCCTTTGCAAAAATCCTTGCTTAGAACCTCTCTTTTTTTTTTTTAAAGAAAAGAAAGAGAGAAAAAAAAAATTGAAATCTTCCAGCAAAGCAAAAAAAATTTCCTCTCCGCCTCCAAGAAAAGAAATAAATATTCAGTTTATTTTCTCTCCTTTTCCGGCGTAGAGAATCCTTAATTAAATTTGCTTAATTTGATTTAAAATAATTTAATTAAAAAGCTTTCCTTTTTCTTCCTTTGAAAAAAAAAATTTTCCTTTCCAATTTCCACTTCACCACCTCGAATTTCGCACCAGAAAATGCCATCTGAAAATTATTCCTCTCGGCAGCAAAGAATGAGTTGGGAGAATATTCTGTAATAGATTCCCTTATTCCCTCAATGGAAATAAATCTTTCTCCTCAGGCGCAGATCTCCTCAGGCGCTGATCCACGAGACATGACCGCGGCTTCCTTTCTATCTCCGCCGCGTGATCTTCGCCGACATGCCAACAATTTCTAGAGACAACTAGATTAACACAACAGAACCCAGCAACACGAGAGGAGCTGATCCGTCCACGCCAGTTGATCCGCTCCGACAAAGCTTCTCCTTCTCCGCTTTTCTCCTTCACGCAGCCCTTCTCCACGCGAACAAGCAGGATCCTCCGATTCGAGCGCGAATCGCGTTCGGCCTCCCGGTCCGCCTGCCTCCCGCGAACCGCACGGCCTTTGTGTCGCGATCCCTCTGCCTGCTCGTGAACGAACTCCTATCACGCCGTTGGACGATTCCGAACCGAATCCGGAGCCCTTCGCGCAAAACCTCTGCGCCGAACCTCTTCTTGGGCCGATGAAAATTTTCTTCCTTGCTCTTGAATCTTGGCTCTGATACCACTTGTTGAGAAAATTAGGGCGAAGAAAAACTGTAATCGACACAAATCCAGAAGAACACAGAGATTTAACGAGGTTCGGCAAAGATGCCTACGTCCTCGGGAGCAGAGCGGCGAGTTCCTTTCAATATTCATAAAAGGGTTACAGAATAGAGGGATACCTCCTGGGGTTACTAACAGGCCTATTTATAACCCCAGGAGTAAACCTAGGCACAATATGTAATTACAACATTACCCCTGTACCATACCGCGGGGCTTTGCCCCCGCACCCCAACCCACGTAACTTCCCAATTTGGACAGATTCTTCCGCTCCGCTCTGCTCCGCTTCGATCCAGCGTCTGTCCCGATATAATATATGAGCCATACCATAACACTCTCCAATATTGGAGCCATCCGCTCTCTTAAAGCAATATTCACTTGGATCGAAAGCCTACACCAACAGACGGACATTAGTTGTTATATATTAAATATATGATATGTGTAAAAAAAAGTAAATAACTTATTTTGGAGAAAGGGGGTGCAGTGAGAAAGAAAGGGGATTATGGATATAGCTAGACTGTGGACCACGTGGCTGTCTTCTTTCCACCGTTGCAGAATTCCAACACCCATGCGCCATGCTAATCAGTCCGGATAGATTTAAAAAAAAAATTAGAAGTAAAAAAGTCCATTGTGTATGAATGTAGGGGGCATTTTTTGTTAAAATGTGAAAAAAAAATTGAATGCATCATTTTTCAAGCATGATTTAAGGTGGTATGTATGTAAAAATTGAAGTTTGGATCAACCTAAACTAGCTTTTAAGAAAGAAATATCAAAATAGTCCTCCGACTTTTTTGTTATGTCATTTGCTTTTCATGTTTATAAGAACATCACTTTAGCGTGAGAACTAAACTAATAAATAATTTACATGGACAATTATTTTAATCCTTATTAAAAAAAAGTATGGAGAGTAACTTAATATTTTTATTGACTCCAAATTAAAATAACCAAATAGGTAGTCAGCGGACTATTTTGACTTTTGTACTCCGCATTTATGCATTCAATAGAACTAAGAACGTATTCTTTATGATATGATCATTTGGCGTTGGATTGTTCTATTTTATTGTAATGCCATTGAGAGTTTAGATGTATCAGTACAAGTGTTTCAAACAAGAAATAGCAAATGTATTTTTAGGGGTTGTTTGAAATTGTGACATTAATCTAGCTTAATTAAAATTAATGTTTCGTTAAATTGAATTTTTTCGCAATTCCTTCGTTTTTATGATATAAATCCAAATTTAATAAATATGATTGGGAGACATATTAAGGATTTATTCCTCCGTAACTCCTGAGCTTTATCTTCGTTGCATAGATTCATCAAATTTATTGAACTTGATAAATCATTTTTAATGTAAGTAGAGGCAAACCTTGGTACGGTATAAAAGGAAGCATTGCCACCCCCCAAACCCTCAAATTATAATTCTTAATTATATTTTAGTTTTTTGCCCTAAAATATCAATTTTGCTCCTTTTGAAATATCACTTTATCCTTCAAGGATTTATTCCTCTAACTTCTAAGCTTCATCTTTGATGCCTAGACGCCCAGGTTAGATTTAAATGTACAGTTGGCCCCCCAGGTTGGTTCCACTATTGAACATAAGTCCAGATTGCAGCACCGCCTTAAATTGGATTTTGATTCTCGCCGGAACTGTAGTTATCCAATGTAATTAAGTTATCTTTTATGGTTGAATTTTAATCCTTATAACTATTTTCAAAATAAAAATTAATTTTAACATAATAATAAGAATAAGAAATAACTCTAGTCATCTAATGTGAAATGAATATCTGAAATTGAATTAGGCGAAATAGAGAATCCAATTAGGTTGAACAAATAAAAAAATCAACTCGTTTGAAACATTCAGAACAATTTGTCACCACGATATGGGCTCCAAAAAAAAATTGTTACTGCTCCAGCAAATGAAGTCTTACAATCTTCAAGTTAAATTTGTTAAATTCATAGTTTTAATAATAAGCTTCAAAAAAAATAATCTAAAATTTTAACTCATTTATATAAATCTGATCCAGATGCAAACCAAAACTTGAAACAATATTCGAGCGATCCACAGTCTTTGGAAAAATTATTGCGGACACCGCATGCAAAATCTGACCAGGACACTTAAAAATATTAGAGTGAGCTCTACTCTAACAAAAAAAAAAAAAGGAAGTAATTCACTAGGCTAGATTGAATATCACACATAAATTTATGTGTCATGTCCATACTCAATAAGCGCTCTACTCTTTCAATTTTACTCTTTCAACTTGAATTCACAGCCTACTCGATAGGGAGGGACGATAAGTTGTGCTTTGATTTTTTATTCCCTTCAGATCTCTGCGTCCTTATCTTGGCTTCTATAATTATTGAATAAATAAATAAATCCCTCTATATTTTTTTTTTTTTTTTCACTGCGAACACTCGCTCTCTGTCCGGCTTTTAAATTAAAAGACTTCTCCAGCCCACCCCTCCTCTCCATTCAGAGAGGAACAGTTCGCGATGTTGTTGGATAATGGCGACTGTGATGACGGTGATGACGATGGGTGGTCCTTAAATCCCTTCGGAACTGCTCCGCCAAACTATCGGCCCGCCTTCACCCTCGCCGGCCATCCGCCGCCGTTCTCCGATCAAGTTCTCGAGAACGTCCTCGAGAACGTGCTGTGCTTCCTCACCTCTCATCGCGATCGAAACGCGGCTTCCCTCGTCTGCAAGTCTTGGTTTCGCGCTGAGGCCCAGACTCGGCTCGAGCTCTTCATCGGCAACTGCTATGCCGTCAGCCCTGCGCGCGCCGTCGATCGCTTCCGCTGCATTCAGTCTCTGGTGCTCAAAGGTAAGCCACGGTTTGCAGATTTCAATCTGGTTCCATTGGGATGGGGAGCGCTATTTTCCCCGTGGGTTGCCGCCATGGTTCCTTCTTACCCCTCGCTCGAGAGAGTCTGCCTCAAGCGAATGACTGTTTCTGACGCCGATCTTGTGATCCTAGCAACCTCCTTCCCCTGTTTCAGGGATCTGTCACTCATTTGCTGCGATGGATTCACCACCGCCGGCCTCGCCGCCATAGCAGAGAGATGCAGGTATCCTCCCTTATCCGATTTGTTGAAATACCACCGATAGAGTCCCCGTTTCGGTGAATATAATCAATTTTGTTCTAGACTTTCTTTTTAAGCTTTTAGATCCGGTTGCCCTGTTCTTGATTCCAGGCGTCTCCGATCTCTAGATCTGATAGACAATGACGTTGAGGACGACGATGAGGAGGTGGTGGATTGGGTGTCCTGCTTTCCACCAGGGAAGACTTGGCTGGAATCCCTGGTATTCGATTGCGTTGGTTGTGCTGTGAACTTTGAAGCTCTTGAGGCTCTTGTGGCCCGATCTCCTTCTCTCTGGAGATTGAGAGTCAATGAGCACGTCTCTGTCGGCCGCCTCTTCAGGCTCATGGCCCGTGCGCCGCAGCTCACTCATCTTGGCACCGGTTCCTTCTCCTCCTTCGAAGGAGAAGGTGATTTCAGGCCCTCTCTCAAATCAGCTTTTATGGCTTCCCAATCCCTGGTATGCTTATCTGGTTTTCGAGATCTTGCTCCAGAGTACCTTCCCTCAATTTATCCGGTCTGCGCAAACCTTATCTCACTCAACTTGAGCTACGCCCAGATCACAACTGACCAGCTAAAACCAGTCATTACCCGTTGCCATAATCTTCAAACTTTTTGGGTATCAATCAGTTCTAATCTAAATCAAAACTACAATTTCTGAAGGCAATTTTAGATTTAATGTTGATTTATTTTGAACTTTCTGATCAGGTTCTAGATTCTGTGCGGGACGAGGGCCTTCGAATGGTTGCTGCAACTTGTAAAAACCTCAGGGAGCTTAGGGTTTTTCCTTTAGACGCCACAGAGGACTCCGAGGGTTCCGTATCAGATATCGGATTAGTAGCAATCTCCGAGGGATGCAGAAAACTCCAATCAATCCTCTATTTCTGTCAGACAATGACGAATGCCGCCATTATTGCCATGTCCAACAACTGTCCGGATCTGGTAGTCTTTCGCCTATGCATCATGGGTCGTCATCGCCCAGATCACCTCACCGGAGAACCCATGGATGAGGGATTCGGCGCAATCGTCAAGAACTGCAAGAAGCTCACCAGGCTCGCCATCTCCGGTCTCCTCTCCGACAGAGCTTTTGCTTACATCGGCAAGTATGGTAAGTTAGTGCGGACCCTTTCGGTAGCTTTTGCTGGCAATAGCGATTTGGGATTGAGATACGTGCTGGAAGGATGCCCTAAGTTGCAGAAGCTTGAGATAAGGGATAGCCCATTTGGGGACACTGGTTTGCTCTCTGGGATCCACCATTACTACAACATGAGATTCCTGTGGATGTCTTCATGCAAGGTTTCGGTGAAAGGCTGCAAAGAGGTGGCAACAAGATTGCCTCACATGGTGGTGGAGGTAATTAGGGACAGGCTGGAGGATGACAACAGCGTCGCTTTGGAAAAATTATATATGTATCGATCTCTTGTTGGCCCAAGGAATGATGCCCCGTCATTCGTGAAGTTATTGTAGCGCCAGGTAGCAGGGGAGGAGCTTGAAAATGAAGATGAACTACCATCTCAATCATATCTCTTTCAGCTGAAAGAGAAGACCTTTTCTACCATTTCACTCGAAGCTCTGCAAAAAAATCTCTAGCCTTTGCAGGACGAATTGGTGAGTTTGAGAACTGGCAAATCGTCTTAACAACCAGAGAAGGTACAATTTGATAGCTGATGGATGATATACTGACTTTGAAGTTGCAGGTATCTATGAACCAGATTTCTCCCAGTTGAAATTTTTTCTTGCCCTGAAGTGAAGCTTAGGATTCTAAAAAAATTTCAGATGAAATTATTATCTAATTCTGCAAGTGTAGGACTCTGATTTATGTTTTATATGTGCTTCCAATGCTTCGCTTTTATTGATTTTTTGCGCTCAATTGGTTGATTTTTTTGTGCAATCCTTTTTTTAAATTCGTAGAGAATTTGTATTAGTCCAGGAAGGCTTGACAAGATGGAACTGTATTTGCTCCCATCCGACAATGCTATTATGTTTTCTAGTCTGTTAAATTTTTTTTAGGAAGCTTTAGATACATCACCACTGAATTTTTATGTATTTACACCCAAACTTCAATTTTTAGAGGTGGTATGTATGTAAATGCTCCTTTTTTTGAGAGAAAAAAATATAAGGATTCACTTATGTCCACTAAATTACCCTGAAATATTTATATATTTCATAATAAAGTTTTTCATTAATATTGAATTTCAAAAAATCAAAGCTAATTTTGTCTGAAATTCCAAGAATAGAAAAATATTTATTGAAACATATAAAGACTTTTTACATAAATTATTGAATGTTTGAACATAAATGGATATGCGAGTAATCAATCATAATTTCAAAAGACAAATGCGCTCGAGCGTGAGTCCTCAGCAGAAGCATTTAACCCAATCATTAGCCCATCACTTCCATCAACAAATATTTGGGGGATTAACGCGAGCTTATTTGAGCTCCATTTTGTAATACTATTTTTCTGGCCTGCTCTCATAGTCCCATGTACGAAAGAAAGTCATCATTGGTTATTCCAACTCCGTCATTGCCATGCATACCATCTAATCCTTATCCATTCACAAAAACCACAATTCTAATTTTTAAAATTTAATATTAGAGCATATATATATAAAAATTGAAGTTTATGTATTACTGATGCAATTTCATAGAAATTGAGTGGTATTTATGTAAATCAAAATAATGTTTCTTTTATCATTTTTAAAAATTCAAATTAGGTTTTGACACCCGTGCACCGGGTCCTTAGGATGCAAAATTTTCAATGTACAATTCAAAGGTTCCTCTATCAACAGTCAAAATCCGTGGCAGGTGTTGCTTCTGTCTAGCATCTATCTGTGTGGGCCCAAGGGGGCGTCCTGTTTAAGTTGATGTGCTTTTTTTGCTTTTCTGTCTATTATGCGTTTAATTATTCCGTGATGATGACCAGTGTTTATTCAGGGTTTATTCGGTTATGTTAAAAATTATTATTTTCTTATAATATTATTTAAATACATATAAGGAGATATTATTATTACTGATTTTAAATTGCTAAGAATATATAATAATTTTAAAATGTCCATTTTGTTGTTCGCACACAATATATTAGAATTGAAGCATTATTGCTAGAGCCATTTACATTTATATCACCTAGTTCTTAAATTAAAATATCATTATTTTAATTAAAAAAAAGGTAAAATACACCCTTTTTATGCACAAGAGTGGTGGACAGTGTGTATGCGTCTTATTATTACATATTTTGTATCTAAAAGCAATCAAATCTGAGCTATATATATAATGGGTTCAAATAAATCATTTATGTGTTTGCTCGCAATTTTAGAAGTTTGATATCACGAATCATTGGGCCAATTTGAATTGAATAATAACAATAGCTAGAATTAGAGCTTTAATTGAGCCATGCACTCGATCAATGAATAACTCGAATTTGACCTGATTAAAACTCGATCATGTTTGTGCAAATTAGTAAATAAACAAGCTTGAATAATTTTTAAAAGCTTGGAGCTTAAATGAACAGAACATTAACATAACTAAACTTGCTAATTTACGTTCATAAACAAACTCGCTTGTAGTTCAATAAGTAACTCGTTAAATACTTGATATTAAACTCGATGATAACTCGCATCATATATGATATATTTGTTAAGATTTGCAAATGAAAAAGAAAAGAAGAAGGGAAAAAGAAGAGAATTGAAAAGTGGCTAGGGTTTCAATTACATCAAACTCATCATTACAAGAGTAAACGATAAATATATATACAATAAGCAAAGAGAATAAACTACCCTTAAGTATGGTAAAATAATAGAAACATAATGAATATAATATCTAACATCCCCCCTCAAACTCACGATGCATCAAAAAGAATCATTGAGAGTTTGCTAGTCAAAAAGGAAAAAAATGTTGTGTGGAATGTGATTTCGTAAACACGTCAGCAAGTTGCATGGAGGACGAAATATATGTTAAGGTGATAGTGTCATGTTTAAAGTGATGGCGAGTGAAATGACAATCAATCTCAATATATTTGGTGTGCTCATGGAAGACTGAGTTGTGGACAATTTGTATAGCACTCTTGTTATCACAATATATAGGAGTTGGGCTAAAGAAAGTGACACCCATATCAACAAGTAACCAGCGCAACCAAACAATTTCTGCAGTAATGGATGTCATCACACAAAACTCAGCTTTTATAGAAGAGCGAGAGATAACTGCTGGTTTCTTACTCTTCCAAGAAATGATAAAATCTCCAAGAAAAATACAAAATCTTGTGGTAGATTTACGATTGGTGGAATCACCACCCCAATAAGCATCTGAGTAGGCACGTAATTCCAAGGAAGAAGTGCAGGAAAGAGAATGCTTTGAAATTGAGTATCCTGAATGCGAAGAACAGCTGCTCAATGAACTGTAGCAGGAGAGGCAACAAACTGACTAATAACATGTACTGCATAAGCAATATCAGGTCTAGTGATGGTAAGATATACCAAGCTGCCAAAAAGTGTACGATACAAAGTGGGATCTGACAAAGGAACGCTATCAGGAAAGTTATTGTGAACATTTAGCTCAAGAGGAGTAGCAATTGTTCAATTATCAGATAGAAGAGTTTGTTCAAGGATGGTGCCAATATACTTAGATTAGGAAAGAAAATAACCTCTAGAAGAATGAGTCACTTCAATCCCCAAAAAAATATCGAAGAGTACCCAAATCTTTTATCTCAAATCATAGAGCTGATTGTAATTTCAACTCTGTAATCCCATTATAATCATTTTAGTAATAATCATACCATCAACATATAAAGAGAGTATGATACGACAATGGGAGGTACTCTTGAGAAACAAGACAGTGTCATGTGAGCTAGAATGAAAACCAAAAGATGTAATCACAATAGAGAACTTTTCAAACCAAGCTCGAGGGGCTTGTTTAAGGCCGTAGAGAGCTTTCTTTAATTTACAAACTTCATCATGATTATGAGAGACACCTGGTGGAGGCACCATGTAAACTTCCTCTTGAAGATCACCATTTAAGAATGAAAATTTAACTTCCATTTGAGAGATATGTCTCTGACCAAGAGAAAATATGTTGAGATTTTCATACATATTTTACACTATTTTTTATCATATTGCACTTTAAAGAAATATATTTTTGATGTTTTGTTGCAGAAATGATGAATTAGGGTCATTGGAGCAAAAGGATGCAAAAAGGAGCGAATTTGGAGCGAAAAGGACCAAAATATGAAGATTTGAACTGGGGCGCCGACAACAAGCCCAACGACGCCAACGACGAGAATTTCCCGATTCCCCGAGACTCCAGATTAAATAATTTAGAAGGCCCGCCAACGGCGCCCTCGAGGCCGTCGACGATGAGATCTATGGTTATACCCAATCAAGCTTTGGATAAGTCCAAATTTTGAAGGGATGCTTAGGCAACTCTTGGAAAAGCTCATCCACAACCTGTGGCCAAAAATACAAAAGGAGAGGCTCAAGAGTTCGAGGAGTTGGAAGGTTAGAATAGTGTTCAAGAGCCCTAATAGTGTGTAGAAAGTCTAATTATGAGGAATTCTTCGAGAGATTGTAAGAGTGGAGGGAAAGTGAGAGATTTCTTCCTCATTGTCGTTTCGTAGAGGAATTATGTGTGCTGTAAAGAAAGGAAGAGATTCAGAGGAACTTCGAGGAGTTTGCTTGGGGAGGAATTAGAGATAGCTGTTATTTACTCATTGTAGTTTGTATGACTTTGCTTTTATATATGAATTCCGAGTTTTGTTGTGTCTTCCCCATGAGTTCTGAGTAGTTTTCTCTGTCTTGCTCCTTGTCTCGAGATTTGTGAAATGGTGATTTGAATTGGTGAAGCCATGAAAATGTTTAAGAAATTGTGATGATCTTTTCACTTCGATCTTAATTTACTTTCAATATGGTCAATTGATTTATTAAAATATGTTGAGTTTTACAACTAAA